TAGAATGGACGGACGTTTCACATGAGCGGCCACTATCGCAAACAAGGGTCCATCCTTTTGAGGTACCCAGTTACCCGACTAGAAAATTTAGACAGTCACGAACAATATCTAATGTTACTCAGCACTAAAATAACCAACTCCATCAGACACATCGAAATATTTTTTGCCAAAATATGGTCGTATCCTATCAAAGTAATAGCTCTAAAACGTTCCGCATTGCGCACACGATAAGCATCCACTTAGGCAATACTCACAAGACAAGTTAGTTCATTTAATCAACGTCCCACTCTGATCATTCAATACAACAACACCAATCAAATTTCATTTACAATCAATTCATCACAAATTGAAAACAATTCACTTTCAATGCGAAATAAACTCGTTGAAGGCATTTACCGTTGCGCAATCCCAACTTCTGCACTCATTTCCTATTGCTCTTTCCTGAATCTCTTTCTTATTCGAAACTTTTCTAACAGTTTTGCCACCAACACAAAGTAGATTATAAGATGCGCTATTTCATAGAATGAATGCGCTGAGTGCGATATAAAATGTATATGATTTCATTTTCATAAACCGTCATTTCGTAAACTTACTCGCATCGCTTTTCACTGTTTCAAGGAAATTCATCAACTGCAAATTAAGCGATCGAAAGAAACGTTCAATCAGTTGAAATCCGTACCCGCTTACACTCCTTAGAAATTCATTTTAGGCAATAAACAATAAAACCAATCGCAATACTGTCATTATACAAGTGAATCACTTCACAATATCGCACACGATACTCACTATGAAACAATAATATAGCTAATCATATGCAGCATAGACAAACACATAAATTTGTGGAATATTTAGAAATGTATTCTGGAAGAACTATTACAACGTTACATATTACATAATACACGATGACTTGCATGCCGTACAGCTACACGAATATCGTTTGATATCTTTGAATCCCTCTTAATGAAATATCGTACACCACATCTGCGCATAAGGCAGCCAGAAGTTACTAAAATTTAGAGTTCAACTGCAAATTGAAGCGCTTCTCGAGGAAATCTATGCGATTAGTGCTTTAATCGTATGCATCTGATACGTTACGCCTAGTCAAATATGTCCTCTGACGGGAGAATGCTATGTATCTATTCGTATTAAGCTTCTTTCTATTCTTCAGGTGCTGACTTTGGGAAAAGTATCAAGACACAACTTTAGTGCCTGATCACAGTTTCTGTACGGTAAAGGAAATCAGTATCTCAAAATTATTCGACGCCTCTCAACTCCGTCTTCGACTACGGCAGATCGAAAACTTTAAATATTCAACACGAATTTTGTGAACGATATATTGCTGATAATAACATTATTATCATAGGTTTGATAAAATTCATTTCGAGAAACAAAACAATTGGAACTATTTGCAATGATAACAATAACAGTAATGATCCCCTTCTTCAGGATATTCAATTTTTTCCTCAATCGCACAACAATAATTCAGAGGCTTTCGTTCGAATAAACCGGTGCAGAATTCGACAACTGAATGTGAAATGAAAATTATTCGAAGAAAATGAAAAATAAAATTCTTTTCGTGAAATTTATTGCGAAAACTTTATCAAAAAGTTCATAGAAAACGGTTTCATTCATTGGTAATTTCGTATTTTACGTCAAAATTTCAAATCAATGAACAAATCAATCTCATGCTCGATATTGTTCTCGTTTCATGGAGAGTATTACTGATGATGCGAGGAGAAAAATATCCAGTTAAATGAGTATTATGAAAAAAACAAAACAACGATATATGCATCTAAAATGTCTAATATAAAGCAGCGATAATCCAAAATATAAAAATCACTTGGATGATTGTCATTGCATGCAATGACAATTAATATTATCATTATTATTATAAATGAAATAGTCATATCATATATACAATAATGACGACGACGACGACGTTATTTACTATTCCATCCTCCGTGTCTTCGTTTCTGATGATCCATTCGGCAAATCATTCTGATCAGCACTCGGCGCATCTGACGTGCGTTTTCTTTCTGATCGAACACAACGCATGTTCTTAAATTACTACTCCTTATCATCTCAATCAACTATCACAACAACTTCACATCCATCAACTATCGCTACATTCTCCCTTCTCTAACATACTCCTTTCCTTAATTATCTAACGATATTAGCATAGGAACCATTCATCCTGGCGACATTCTAATCCAATTGATCGACAAGGTGTTGTAAGGTTGATATAAATATTATCGAATTATTACTCTTCTTATATATTCGATTATATTTTTTGAAACAATTTCAATTTTCAAACGAACTTCCATTCGAAAGGACCACCAAAAAGTTGTACGATAAAGAAGGCGATGTACTCGTCTCTAAACATCTAAAATTCATATAAAGTGATCTACTTCAATGGAGCAATACTCTGATGATTTAGTGCACTATAGATATCCTGTGGTATAGTTATTACAGTTATCAGCGATTATAGTTATTCTGTGATAATAAGAGACATAATCGTGTGCTCGTTATAAATTAATATTTTTACTAATCTAAAAATAAATAAAAAACCGAGCAATTCTTTACGATATGCAATCACTCGCGAATCAATCAGCAAAACAATAATAATAACATCAAAATAATAATAATTTTAATAATAATAGCAATAATAATATTGTAATAATGGTGATAAATTGATAAAAGTACCGAATTATTAGTAGTCGAATTTGATGCGCGGATTGACCATTGTGATTGTAAGTAATGCAACAATAACGGCTTTTTATCGCAAATAATTTTCTTCTCTTCGGAATTATTCGATACGTTTCGAATCACCTTCGGTCGTTCTCTCTTAAAACAATACTTCGCTCAATTCGTCTATAATATTCTCAATCCTCCTCCATTTAATAACAAACTGCTTTCTAAATCCACGTAACCACTGATTCGTTATCGTTAATAATCCAAGCATTCTGACGAACCACTTCTAAAACTACTCATTCTCATTCACCATCCCGTTCTATCCAACATCTTAAATCAACTCTATCTCTTCTCCGGTCTCTATATGACTCTTGTAAATCCTCATGATGCGATCAGAAATTTCGACTGTTGCCAAATTTGTGGTCAGCCGGCGGATTACCTAAGCGACGAGCCCGTTACGGGTTGCGATTCTTACAACTTCAATAGACCGGGTCTAATGAACACGACAATTATCGGTCTAATACTCAACAACGCAACTGAACCCAGCCACCAATTATGCTCAACTGTAAAACAACATGCACGCAGATCAAATAATAAGGTGACTGCTGAAGAAATGTTAATGAAATGAAGAGAAATTGAATGATTAACCTTGACAAGAATATCGTTCGAAGCATTCGAAAAATTCGATTTATTCACTGATGGCAAATCTTTCAAAAAATCACTCACTGGCATTTCGCATATATAAACGTATCTGCATTTTAATTGTTATTATTACTTCTGCTATCATTATTGTTTGTAAAATATCGACCATATTGACAATACTTCATAATGTGGTTACCGTCAAAATATTGACGGTAAGCACATTATGAAATATTGTTCAATCGACCAATTTCTCAATACCGACGTCGGTATTAATACCCGTATCGTATCGTTTTCTAAACCGATACGAGACCGGTATTGAAAAGCAACTTTCGAAACATAGAAATGTGACGACTTGTTCAACACATTCTTCTTGAGCCAATCTGTTCATAACTATGCAGAAAACAATTCATCTAACAAATCACTCACCAAAGCTCAACAAAAAAACAAAAATGGCTATGATTCATGCTCCAGTCGCGATCGATATACTAGCAAATTCACTTTAAATGACGATTTGTGGTGGAATACCGGAAATACCGTGAACATCGACACCGCGGATCTCGAGCTCCGTATCGCTTTTCTAATAGCGCTATTCGGTATTACCGAGATGTCGTGCAAACACTAGGTATCACTAGCAAGCACCATTATTTCTACTAGCAATTGATCGGAGAAAGTGAACGATATCGAGAAATGGATGAGATGCAACCCATAAGTGTCAGGAACAAAACAAAAAACATGCTGAAGCCTTTTATTCGAACACGACGATACGAAATCAATTAGATTTGGTGTATGATGAGATGCGTCTGGCCTTCATATATTAACAAATAAATATCATTTATTACCGTTTCTTCAAATGACGGTAACCACATTATGAAATATTGTTCAATTATCGACAGATAAGTAAGCATTTTTCAGTAACGAATGATTTGAAAATGCTGCCGAATTGAGCGGCATAATCACCGAATAGAAGAAATTATTCAGAAATTCATTTGATCACCACCGCTTTTTGAAATTTGACAACAAAAATCAATTTCCAACAATTGAAATTATGGAAGAAAAACAATAACACAGAAGAAATAAGCTTAAAATATGACTTCATATTAAAATCGCTGAAGGATTATTTTACTGCACAGATCGAGAAGGGAGAACGTTCACTTCGGCGCAAACGAACCCTCCGAAGGTGACTCAGTCTCTATATGGCTGATCGAAAGAGAGTCAACTCAACTTGAAACAGTGATTGGTTCACAATCCAAACTCCCCCGTCAAATCATCAAAGTAGCACAACTTCGGGTCTTCTCTCCTCTACTCATAACTTCATCACTTCATCTATATCCCATTGAAAATCACTACATTTGGGCTTGAGCTTATGCGAAGGTTTAAACGAATCGACCCGCATAAATTACTAAGGCGAAATTGACAGCGGTGCTGACAAAATATTAGCAAACATCTAATGTTTCAAGTCAACTCATTTACACAGCAAAAAATAAGAGAAAGCTACACGATATTGCCCTCATCGCAAGCTACAATCAATCAAGAAACTGCCAACAANATATTAGCAAACATCTCACTAATACATTTCGAGTTGACTCATTTACACAGCAAAAAATAAGAGAAAGCTACACGATATTGCCCTCATCGCAAGCTACAATCAATCAAGAAACTGCCAACAATCAAATGTCATCCACAACACCCAAAAGCACTTTGCCCTCTTCTCCCGGCTTGAACGGCGGTAGTCCACGATATGGACACGTCGAACAACGAAACGCATCGCCCAGATTACACTGCAATTACAATCATTCGATTCAATTGAATCGTTCACATCAACATCAATTCTAGCCAAAATTCCAGTCAATTCAATGCAACCATACTCTCTTATCTGCCTAATATAAATCAGTAAAAATGCAAACAAAGAATCCCTCCGGAAACGGATTTAAAATTTTTTTGTCGGGCGGGTGGCGGGAGGGGGGAGGAAAAGGTGAGTGGAGAGATTTAAGAAAATACAAAATGATTCCAGTCGGTCATGCCCAAAACAACACATCTTACTGACTGGTGTACATTCTTGCGTATGACTTTATCAACATTAAAACGAGGAGTACAAAGTAAAATAATCATGTGTAAAAATTCTTTCTTAAAGTTTCTATCAGTAAATTTTTAGATATTGTGCAGGACACTAAACCAAATTCGTCATTAACGATGAAGGCATTTCAAATTTGAAACTAATAAAGAGAATGAAAAGAAATCGAAAAAGAAACTCACTTTGCCACACGATGACTTCGGTGCATCACTAGTGGACGTTTTTTGCTCCAATTCCTCAGCCAGTCCACACGTACAATTTTTACATGCGCGTATCTTCTTCTGGGCGCCAACGTTTTCATCACAACCAACTAAAATAATTTTTAAAATTACACTTAATCGGCGTATACAACTACGAATTTCTTCATTACCACACTATGTCATATTCGGTACCCGGTCAATCTGTCTAAAGACATTTAGCCTAACGACAGTTTGCCTTAAGACAAATTGTCTAACGGACAGTTTGCCGAACAGACAGTTTGCCTAAGGAACAGTATGCCTATTAGGCGAAATTTCCATTAAAACACCGTAAGTTAGGCAAACTGTCCGTTAGGCAATGTGTCTTTAGGTAAACTGTCGTTAAACTAAATGTCTTTAGGCAGATTGACCGGTCACGGTCATATTCATCTCACTGTCAGTTGCTCCGCATGCATTACCCACTCAAAACCACCACCACATCGCCAGCTTCACCCTTTTTGAATCTCATACCAAGTATTATTTGGCTCAGCGCGGAATACGATCATGCTCAATATTGATTCGTGGTAAATGACACAACGCTTTATTACTATTGTTGGATGTGAGAGTGCACAAGAAAATCAACGTGAAAATACGAAACGAAATATAGAATAGAAACCTTTGAGTGAATTAACCGACGGCTTGATGAAATCTTGTTCGAGCAGTAAATTGTCTTCATCGATCAGATTCTCATCCTCGTTTTCCGCATTTATACTCCATATTTTTTGCTTTTTTTCGTTCACTTTCGATGGCAATTTCAACGAGAACGATTCACCAACGTGAACTGATGGCTGAAAATCAGCATATTTATACAAAGCAGGTGTACGAGATAGTGGGAAGGCAAAGCAAACTCAGAACTTCGTCTGCTCCAAACAAATCCCACTGGATTGATCCGGACAGGACAGCATAAAAATATTGCTTCAATTCTAACAATGAGTATGAGAAAATGAACGATTGTTTATCAAAATTAACCTTCTTCGCAGTTATCGATACCCATCGATTCGCATTTTCGCTCTTCTCAACCAGGAATCCATTCAATCGCATTTCACGACCAATTATCTTCTCATCGGAATCTTTAGGGAAAATTATTAATTATACTGACTGAATAAAATTAAGGACGTCGTGATGATACAAGCATCGATTACCGTTTTGATTTCTAAGATAACAAAAAAAAAACTCACTGACTATTGTGTAAACGATAATTTAACTCTATAAGCTAAACTATTTTCACAAATAAACATTGCTCAGTTCCAAAAAGTAAGAGATACAATTTATCTTTAAATTTAGATAGAATTTACTGAATAGTATGGATAGAACCATAGCATAAAAGCTTGCTGCATATTCGATTTGAAGATTTGTCGTACTGCTTTTGAGAACACTATGACAATTTTTTAATTAATACGCAAAGTTTGAAACAATAAACGAGAAGAACTTGTCGTTAGTCACTTACCATAAGAGATCAGTGAAAGTGCTGACTGAGGCTTCAGTTTTGAAAATGCGATTGAAATTAATTTCGATAGTGAATTAGATGGTTGAGCACAAATAATAAAGACATGATCGTAACACTCTCCTTTCGTGGACAAATCTGAAATTATTCGTTGAATTTATCGACGAATTTAGTTCCGGTTTGATTTCCTCTTAAAGGTGTCGTTTTGAGAAACAGTTTCTGTAGTGATGCAGACTGTAATTATCGAAAATCCTGATGATAATGACATATGAAGATAACTGAAAATAATCTGAACAAGCACTTTCAATATGTTGTAGCGATGAGCAAACGTCAGCATTCGGGAAACGTGTCTTCAGTGCATTGATCTGATCGTCAAGTTTTTCATGCGAAGCTGAAAATTGTTTCTACACTAATTCAGATTGTAGCCATTTACGAAATCAAAATCGAGAAAGCATTCTTTCACTTTCTCCAAATAAACTGCCATGAAATAAAACTGAAGACGCATAGAAGATAAAATTGATCGTAATAGAAAAAATATCCAAATATGCTCTCTGAACAACAATTTCACAAATTGCATATTCGACATAATGCACTTCAAATAAATAATTCCTGTTTACCGTTTGGTGTTGACTCGGTGAAGAGTAAAATTGATGAAGATGCATTCAAATGGTCTGGGATATTAAGATCCATCTTGAATGCTTCACTAGCCCTAAACAGATTAATTACCTTGATTAAATACAAATAGATTCGGAACAGGATGCGCCAAAAATTGGTCACTCATCAAGCACTAACAATTCATCCCGAAAATAAACGNATAAATCTATTGATTAATAAACTTCGATCGCATATATTTCGATCGAAAACCGAAGTGACAGTAACATTCCGCACTCTTCATCCAAGTTTCGTCACTCTCACTAAATGCATAAATAAACTGTGACTCCAATAACTTCAAAAAAACATCGCTCTCTGATGTCTTCGAAATCCCATCGTACATACATCGATTAATAAGATTATTTGTTTGTTAGATACACTCAAAAAAGATTCGAAACGAAATTTCGCAAGTGATATGTGGACAATGGGCGTGAATGAAAACAGCACGGAAAGAGAGAGCTGCGTGTAGAAGCAGTTGGGATGAGAGGAGAGCGCTTAACTGACATTGAATGAATGCAATTGCAATGGGAAGAGAGACAATTCATACGATTAAAGATACATCATACAATAATCGAAGTATTTGAGATATTCGAAACCAAATGTTATAGTTAATTGTGGGACACATGAAAAGCTGTATCGAGAACCGTTCTAAGGCTAAAGATCGTCGTAAACTTTTTTCAGAGATCACCTCGCTGAAGTGAGAAAATTCATGAGAGTTAGGAGGCGATTGATGCATCGTCAGATTAGATGTGGTGGATGTGTTACTCGGAAAGTCGAAGATACACGTTCTGAAGCACATGAAAAGTTCCATCCGAAGCCGGTCTCAGTTTAAATTTATGACACCTGCGCATGTGAGGTTCGATTTTGCTTAATTGAAACGATAATGACGATTTGCTGAAGCCATCTCGCACAGTCGAGCCGCTCATTTCAATACATTGCATCTAAATTGGTCAATGTATTCAAGATGTTTGGAATATCTCATTTATCGCTTCTAAACTAACGTTCTGCTCAGCTTTACCGGAAACGTGGTGGTTTCTTCACACGATCGGATTCCCCAGATTCTCTAGTTTCAGAAAAGGATATGTGTTGTCGGGTGAGGTTGTCTATGTTCAGAGAAATAGCTGATTTTCTGAAGGTATCCTGAGTGGACTGCTCTCTGGAAGCAACAAATGTGGGTTATAGAATACAGCTTTTACACTAAATGGCTTAGGCCTAAATCTGATCAAACAAAACGTTAGATCAGATTTAAGTGTTCTGAGATATTAATTTGATCAGTAGTTCACATGAATGTTCAAGATTGCGATCAAGTATTGTTAGAATGTTGATCAATTCGATCATTAATAACCCTGCGAATATCGCCTCCAGGAATCATATATAAACGAACTCATTACTCACTTATTTCAGTGTGCATCTGCTTAGCAGAGGCAAGTGGAGGTGCGGAGTCTGAGACTCTGTAACATCATCCACTGATATTTTTGTGTGTGTCCTCAAGGGGACACTTCGGCCCTCAGCCGAGGGTGGACACCGTGGGCATGGTGTACGTTCTCGGTTGAGGGTACGGCTCGGGCAAACAGTTTACCCTCAGCTGAGGGCAAGCGCTCTAATCCTCTCTACCCCTAGCAGGGTCGAGAATAGTGCGCTTACTTTTAGTTGGGAGTAGACGCTTTATCCCTCTTGGGGGCATTTCCCCCCTCTCAGGGGTACTCCCCTCCCTCTTTCGGGGGGATACTCCCACGGGGACCTCTCCTCTCTCGAGGGAACCCTCCCCTCTCCCCGCGGGCATCCTTCCCCTTCTCAGGGGAACCTTCCTCTCTCTCCCGGAGGGAACCCTCCCCTTCTGCGGGGACTCGCCCCCCTCAGGAGAACCCTCCTCCCTCTCGGGGGTCCCGCTCCTCTCAGGGGAACCCTTATCTCTCCCCGCGGGTACCCTCCCCTTGCCAGGGAACCCTCCCCTTCCCAAGTTAACCCTTCTCCCGTTTTGTAATGTGGGTCCAAAACGGGGAACATTACTCAAATCGAACCGAAACGAACTATAGGGGCCAAATAACCGGGCACTTGGCAGGTTCTAATTGTCCCCGGCGCAATTGTTCTTTGATTTCAGTTGATTCGTGCCTGAATTAAAGATTCATGCCTGAACTAAGCAATCGACTGCTTCGTTCAGGTTATCAAGGTGATCGGAAGAACATCAATACGAGCTTTGTAAAACAATTTTTACAAATTTCTTTTGCATTTCTATCTGTTTACATATGAATGTGTGCATTATTCGACTGAAGATCAAACGAACGAATAATTATGATGATCAAATAAGTTTGCACCGTATCGATATTGCTTTA